CGACTTGTCTCTCCGATGTAGGTGTTGTTACAATTGGGCTCCTCACATTTGAGTCTGTAAATAACATTCGCCTTGGTACCCTTGTGAGGTCGGTCCTTAGGGTGTACCAGTCTTTGTCTGAGGGTTGAGTGAGGTTTGAAGTTAGTGGCTATGTTGAAGTTTTGGAAGATCCGTCGGAGTTTCTCAGATACTCCTTGGACATACGGAATAGTGATGTTGGCTTTGTTTTTGTTGGTCAATGGTTTGCACTTCTGGGTTTTCTTAGACTGATCTGGGTCTAAGAACTGATCTGGGTTTTCTTAGACTGATCTTGACTTGTCTGACTTTTGTTCCTTTTTCGACTTCCAAAAATTTGTCTTCACTTTATTTGCATATCAATCAACAGGTTGTGTATATAAACCTGCTTTCCCCTCTGGTCTCTCAGTCACTGACGAAAGCTAGTGGATACTAGCTGAAACGTCTGACGTTTTCAAAATCATATCCAGTTGCTTGAGTAACTGTTTTTTGGCATGTGCATATAGCATGATCTCCAATTTGACCTTCTTGTCAGTCTGTGGTTTCCACCTCATTTCCTTCCTCCTCCTACCGTATTCTAATGAACTATGAATGCACAAGCAAACAAACAAACAAAAACACTGCAAAAAAATAACACAGAGGTAACGACAACTCTAAACTGGATTCCTGCCATGAAATCGTGGATTATATCCTTGTCACGGCTGGTAAGCAGTGCATTGATCGGGTCTAGGCATTCACACAAGACTGAACAGTCTAAAGGGCACAGGGACACTGTGTCCTCAGGGATCCTGGGAAACAACTGCCTGGCAATGGTGATGATTGCTTTCCAGTAAACCAAAATACATACTAGATAACATAGCATGGGTACAAGAATAGGTAATACTGAGAAACATAACAAAAAGTATAGCTTACAAAAGTGGATAATAACAAAACCAAGTCGTCAAATCAAAGACAATCATAATCCAAAATGAGGTCCAAATGCTTTCCAAATTCACACCATATGTTTACATAATTTCACATTGTAGGAATTTATGTAGGTACTAGTGTTAGGTGTGTTTAGTTTCCAAGCACTTCACTACAAAGTAGCATTATGTTTACTGGTTAAGGAGGAAAACATTGTTTTTGCTGTTTCTTCTTCTTCTTCTTCTCCACAGAAATAAGGTCAATGACCTGAACCAGATGTCTGTCACCATGGTAACTATGTTGGGTTACATTATGTTGTGTATTGAGCCTGGTGTATTAATTTGGTGATTTAAATATATCCAATTGAAGTTTGGTGTATAGATGGGCATGTATTAGATAGAAATTCAAGGTAAAATCACAATACGTCCTACATCCACCCCGACTTTTGAAGCAAGGGCGATTTTGCAATTTTATGAGATTTGAGGTCTTCACAATCCCCATTCCATAAGCTGGTGAAAAGAAATAAATTGAAACATTGATTAATGTATACCTTTGGCATACGACATGTATACACTTTTCACTGGGAAGAAGGTGTTGGCAGGACTTCTTGTGTAGAATATTGATGCTGATACAGACTAGAAGCTTTTACAGTATGGGTATGAACCAGAAGTCAACGTCTGATGATGGGGTATTGGTAATCTATAAAATTCAATTCTGCATGAGGCTAAAGCAGCTGATATTCTGACAATGTCTGTGACTCCCACATTCTACTACATCGCCCGTCACCTTGAACTTCACACCCACACATCTGTACACATCTGCTGGAACAATGGGAGGGTCAAGGTCCATGTCAAAGATGGATGTAACTCGTGGCCAAGGCCAGTTGGTCTGGGTGCACTCATTGCTGCTGCAGGCAATGGTGCTATCCTTGTAAAGGGAAAATCTCCAAGAGAGGTAGATTAATCTTAATAGTTTTTCAAAATCCATTTTTCAAAACTTGCTTTGGTACTTTTTTTTAGATAAGAAGGTCCTCTGCAAAGGATAAAAGAGACACGGTAATCTATAATATTCAATTCTGCATGAGGCTAAAGCAAGGCCAAGGTTTCTGCAAAGGATAGAAGAGACTTGGCAGCTAAAATAGGTTCTGTCACAGGCCAGAAAAAGTTTGGAATAACCTGTTTTGTTAGTTACCCATCCCAAATTGCATTCTCAACTTGCTTATAATAATTATTTTCACAAATGAAAATTATAACATTCAAGTTCAATTTTCACCCTAAGTTGATCACATTTGAAAGTCATAGTCCTTTTGCCTCTGTGTGTCCAGTCCTTTACTACTCAAGTTTTGCAGGTCCTTGGAACCAAAGAGTGTGAGTGTGAGTGTGGGGTTAATCCCTAACCCAAGCAGGATTAGACAGACGTCAGGGTGGATTGGAGACGGGACTGTGATGGATTGAACACACCTCCCTCCCCTGACAGGAACACACATCTCTACTGGAGTACCTGACCCCCAGTATGTCCTCTCACTCCACAACTATCAGTCACCACCTGCACTCCCAGTGTGTACTGCTAGTTATAAAACACTTGTGATTAGCAGTGGGTGACCTCCAACCATTTTTCAGAACTTTTTCTGTACATACATTAAAGGTAGTCCCATACTTTTTGAGGTTGTATATAGAGGCAGGAACAGAGCCCATCCCTCTCCTTCCACCAACTTTTACTTCCCAACTGAAGTCAGGTACCCATTTTACACCTGGGTGGAGTGAGGAAAGTCATTCCCAAGGGCACAACTGAGCATCGAACCAGGGATCTTTTGATCTTGTGTCAGCTAATGTAGCCACACAGCCATTCAATGCCACATACATATGTACAATGTATGTATACAATATTAAGCTTGCACAAGTGCTGAAAGACAGAAGAAAGTTTCTTTTCAATTAATTTGAATTCCTGCCACTTTCGGGGAAATTGAAATTGGCCATCAGTTTAACAACTGTGAAAACACAGTGCTATCAGCAGGAAGTGCATGGATAATGACTTCTGTTCCATGGCTGGAAGCACTAATTCTATTACAGTGTATAGAAACTTCCATTAACCTTTTCCACAGATCTTACGAGAGCTGCATAACGTTGTTAGCCTGGGTACCATCCTATGGGAGCCCCGTTATACAAGTAGGATGGTACCCAGGCTATAACGTTGTTGTATGTTGTGAAGAGTTTTCAGTGCTATTAAATTAAGCTACATGTACTTTTACCATTTCGGTTGCAATTCTTTTCAATCTTGGATCACACAAAATGTAAAGTAATTTAGGGCTAATCTCCAAGCAGATAGTACGGTTGCTAATGGACGCTCCTCTGGCCAATGGATACTGCCTTGCCACCGTATGATCTGCTTGGTGATTAACTTAGGGCATCTCTACAGCCTTCCTCGGGGTAGATGACCCACTGGTCCAGACATGTGACCTCACAGACTGGTGAATCCAGCTACAGAGCAAAGGTGCCTGGAAGTTTGCATCCCCTCCATCCTCATAACTAATCAATGGACTAAAGTGGAGAAAATCCCCCTGGGGAGACTCTTACTTGAAGGTGTAGTCTCACCCCACCCCCACCCCATAACACCCTCAGTTTCCTGTCTTGAAAAATATGTGGAAATCTGTGTAAAAGGTTGTTCCATCTCCGTAATGTCCTTGTGAGGGAACACTGAGAAGGCTCAATTGATTGTCAAGCACTCTCTTTGATCTCGGGTCCCTGCATGAACATGTTTGGTCCTGAGCACCATCCATTTCACAGGAGATGTGGAAGCCAGCCAACATGGCACACTGTGCAGACACAACTGTCTGGCAGCCATGACTTACTCCAGGCTGATAAACTGCCATGTAGGAATAATCTTTGTCCTGTGAATTACACTTGCTTGGTCAATTTACCGAGTTTAAAGAAATCTGCATGTTTTCTTACTATCATCTGTAGACTATAATGTTTCATTTCTTATCCTTCAAGTTACCTTTTAAGTGGACCTACCAAACTGTTTGTCAGGTTAATTAAAATTTCCTGTGTGTGTTTTTATCTGTTGTACTGTCATGTCCGATGCAATGGCCAAGTACGTAGAGTGCTCGCCTTGCATTCAGTAAGGCCAAGTCATACCAAATGGTACATACTGCTTTCTCTGGTTAGCACTCAGCATTTGAGAAAGAGTATGGGAGTCAAACACTCACTACTACCAGTGGACTAGCCTCCTGCTGTAGTGATTGCACAATGTGTGGCCCAAGGGCTAAGAAACGGAGATGGGTGCTGCTGTATGCGACCATGCTAATGGTTGCAGGAGAGCTTTAACTTCACTAACTTTTAACATTCTTTCAGCAGCATTTCCTGTTTAAGCTATGGCCAATTGATAAATGTCACAAGCCTAATGTCCAATTTTGCTTTTTCCCTGCCCACTTAATGAATGAGTGCACCAGGCCCATCTATGATTAATTTTAGCATCTCAGGCTCTTGTCTATAGTTCAAAGTGGTCTACTAGAAATGATGAACTTGAGTCTCCCTGTTGTATTACTCACTGTCAGAATCAGGGTCAAGGTTTTGTCTGCCAATTACACGTCACCTATCTATCACCACACCACAGTTGGCAGACAGGAGGGGTGGGCTGGTGGCAAACCAAGAACCTTCACCCAACACCTACTAACTCATTAGCACGATTGTGACGGATATCATCTAGGCATGGTAGCTAGACTGTTCTTGTTAGGCCACACTGTATTAATTTTATGAATGATTGATTTTCACCTGTTCTCAAAAAAAAAAAAATTCCGAGGCTGTAGCCTGGGTGCCATCCTCAGTAATCCATTGTGGCTGCCGATAATAGGTAGCTGGCAATAACTTTGATAACTCTGGTAATTTAAGGCATGACTATATTTCTCTGTTCTTTTCTCAGCTGGTATTCGGTACTTCAAGGAGGTACTTTCACAGCTTGTGTTGCTGCCTTAGATGACAAGATTCTATGGATGGATGGATGGATGGATGGATGGATGGATGGATGAAAACAATTGAAATAAAACATAAGCAATAAATAAATGTTCATGTTTGCCTCCCATCCAGGATATGGAGCTGATGTCAGAAGAGCTGGTGAGGCTGAGTAAGTTTCAGCCCGGAGTAGCGGGACAGCAGCTGTCCACAGGGAGTCAGCAGCCTGCAACAGCTGGACAGCAACCACCTGTAGCTGGACAGCAACCACCTGAACAACAAACAGCTGTACAATCAGCACAGTAGTGTTTAAAACTAGCTCCTAGAGTACAAGCGGGAATGCCCCAGCACGTTGGCAGAACGTACTGCACCTGCGCAAAACCTATAATATTGTGGATAGCACTTCGGCAGAACGCCTCATATAAACTCATATAAGGTTGTATTTGCATATATAAGGTTAGCATCCCATCTATAGTCTCCAAATGTTGTGTCAGAAAAGATATGCTCAGACACAGTACGTTCTGCCGACATGCGACATCCTCTCCCCATTCCCTCCCATCCGTCCTTTAGGTTTTCATAACAGTGCAGGGCTCTGGCCAGCTCGAAATATTTTTCTGTCAGCCCAGGTTAATGACCAGACCTGGGGAGAGTGCTTGCAATCTAGGGGAGTCCAGAGACGAATTTTGTATTTTCAAGCCTTTAAAAACAAATTTCAAATCATGGGGTTGAAAGTGGTTTTTGGTGGTCCTTTGGATGTTTTCATACTTTTACCCAAGATTTTTGCCAATTTTTCCATCAAAGTTGACAGATTGGTTTAAAAAACTTCCCGTCACACGCCACAAAATTCCTTCAATTGGTGGAAAAACTGGTGCGGCTAGAGCCCTGCAACAGTACTAGTGTAGTCTCAGTCTGATTGTAGACATTCCATGCAGAAACATTGACATTTATAGGCAGATTCAAATAATGTAGACTTTGGTTTCTTCATTCATTAAAAATATGACGATGTGTAAATTCCCCCCAAACAAGTAAGTGAGCATGTTTATATTATACTTGAATATATATAACAACAAAACAAAATTGGAATAACCTCTACAAGGTAGTGCATTCATTGAGGTAAAATTAATATAGACCAGTCAATATGTTGAATCAGTATTATGTAACTATGTAGACTTTGATAAAAAAGGAACTGTAAATTGTATAATACTAGTAGTAGTAGAAGATGAGAATGACCAAAATAACTTGCAAACTAAACTACACATTCAAACATTCTACAGAAGTTTGTCAAAACCATTGATATACCTATAGGAAAAAGGTTAGATTCCCACATAGTAAATGGCTTCAGATATCATAATGTTTACCTTGGAAAAACTTGGACAAAACTGTATTTAACACAACAAAGCACACACATTATGTACAGTGGAATGTACACACATTGGCAGATTCTGGTGGCAATTTAAATTGACAGGAGAGAAACAAAGTTCCCTGAAGAGACTGGATATGGATAGCTCAAGGCTTAAGACCACAAAGAGACCTTATTTGAGCCATATTTTTTTTGTTTTATCACCTTTTATTATCATTTAAGACAATGGATGTTGTTATATTATCCGGTAATTTGGTAGTAATTTATATTAGCACACTCATTATTCAGTGTCAGAAATTTTGCTACCAGAAGAAATGTTCAATACAGATATGATGAAGATGTTATTATAAGTTTTAATACAGAGGAATTACTACTTGAGCAAACATTGCAAATACAGTAACAAATATCATGAATTCTGGAATATCAAGCTTATACAAGCTGTATTCATATAAAGTAGAAAGAGAGTGACTTGATGTATAGCAATCAGCCCTTCCAGTCACCATTATTTGGTACATTTTCTTCTACATAAATGGTCACATAGCAGTTTTGTACAGTAAGGAACCCATGAAACAGTACAGATTATATGTTGACTACACAGAATGGCAACATTCACCGTCTGGTTATATTGCCATCCACCAATATACATAGCTTATCAATAATCATCTTCCAAAAACAGATTATTGTAGTGCTGCATTTACAGCTACAGTGTTGTGCTTTTACCTACATACCCTTAGCTTTACCGTAACTACAGTTTCAACATCACACTTATCACAGAAAAATGGTGCACACTGTACGAATGCTAACAAGGGAAATCGTAGATTTCAAACCTCCGGGTTTTTTTGTGTTCTATTGGTTTAGGTTATTTGTTTGTGTGTAGTATGGAAGTTATGTGCGTAATATGTTTGTATGTGTTTGATGGCTACTGACGGTTGGTTCGGTATGGACTGTTGATTAACGTGTCTGACAGTCTGCACCGTCACCCGCGCCATTACCCCCGCTGTCATCCCGCGCCGTCATTGCTGCGCCGTCACCCAAAATTTTTATCGGAACCAGACACCCCTCTGTTTGACCCCTTTTGAATGCTAAGACCCAAAACTGCAACCGCCCCATTCCTTAACAACATGGTAATTACCATTTTCAGCATGGCGGGGGTGTCCGGAGCACTTAAAAACCTTTTATTTTGACGCCCATAAACACATATGCAATTAAACAAAAACGTTCTGCATCATCTGCAGCCCAATAGCATAACGTATACCGAACCACAGACAAATCCGTCCAGCCGATCGCGAGAAACAGCTGCTGACAGAAATGTTTCGAACCATAGTAAATCCTCCTCGCGGAAGGATATCTCCTTCCCCGGAGGTAATAAACAGATCTGGGTAAGAAATTTCTTCATGATGAAAGATATAATCTACAGGAAAACTGTGTTTCTATTATCATTCTGGATCTTGCGACCTACTTTCCTTCTCTCAAATGTATAGTATATGTAGTATAAGAAGTATGTAATACTATGTATTAGTACTTTGTTATCGAAATACAACATTACATTGAAGTATCATGCTCTGCAATGTGATGGACATAGTAAATGTTGTCCATCAAAAAGATATCCATATTGTATATCATGATAGAAAAAAACTCTGTTGTCATTTCTTACACAGCTACATTTTTTCTATAGTACACTTCTATTCATTAGGTGCATGTAAGTACATATAAGTAGTGATGCACTGTAGTGTAGTTGTAGAATTATACACGACATTTAGTTACCTTAAACTTTAAAGTTTGTATTTCCACATTCTTTTATGTTTATCTTAATTTGTTGTTTTGCAATAAAGTAATCAGACACTGGTGCATCTTTCTGACACCGTCTACTGAAACAATACAGCCTACAGCCTCAAGAAATAAGATACATGTGATGTTATGTTATGTAACAGAAACTGGACATGGAGTCTGGTGAAAAAGTGAGAACAACAGCTCCCCTGGCGCTCGAGGTTATATTGCAGCATATTGCAGCCATAAGTACTCCACACCTGTTTACTCCGCTTATAAAGTAAGCTAAGCATCTGGACACCAGATCACTAAATGACTTCTGCACGACTTGTCTAGTTACCAAACCTTGTATATCGTGTATATGGTATGCATAAAAGGACGAAGCGGTACTATAATATGTTTCAGTTTATTTATTTAACCAGAAGATACACTCAGGTATTTGACCTGCTTTTCAGGTAGATCTGGGTACAATAAAAATGCAGAAACAATACAATGATAACAACACAGTACATAGCACATAATAGCCATACAGCAGTACAAATACAATATAATTACAATGTTTATGAGATATTGTATGACTTCGCTCTAGTCCAAGTCGTGTTGTACCCAGAACCGTGTTCCACTTGGCGGCATTTTCTTGACGAAAAGCCGGGCGGGACGAACCGCCAACACAGCCGGGTACAAATCATTCCTTCCCCTCTTCTTGCCTCTGCTCTATACAGCAGTAGTATTATAGTATAATCCGGTATTTTTATGATTTTTGTACATTTAACTTTCGCTGGAAAATTACTATTTTGACCCAAGAAAATAGCTCGATCAAGGGGCTTTTATAAAGGCTCGTTGCTCAGTCCAAAAGTACTATAGCTAACCTGCGCGAAACAGTCGCTCTATTCTATTCAGCAGGTGGTTGTAGAAGTTAGCTATTCTGGCTCCCTTCTCTCTGATTGAGCTATTTTGTTGGGTCAAAATAGTGATTTTCCAGCGAAAGTTAAATGTACAAAATTCATTAAAAAATACCCGATTATACTTCTATTGTATAGATCAAAGGGGCTTTTATAAAAGTCCAAAAATACTACAGCTAACCTGCACGAAACAATCGCTCTATTCAGCAGGTGGTTGCACGTACTAGTACGTTACGTACAATACGTCAAGTTCTCACGCCCTACCAAGATGAGTCGGAATATTCATAGTTTTGTTAACCCACTTTTGGGATTGTCATTGGCAGTCATCCCTAGTTGTAGATGACACGTCTCAAGGACCGCGCGCGAGCGCTTCCCGTATCTATATTCCAGATAGGCTTTTTTCTAATCCTCCAGTTGCCCCTGCCGAAATCTCCCCTCGAAGATGGCCAGCCAGCGATAGCTTTGTGTACCGTCACTAAGTGCTTGACAGGAAAATCGAAAATGCCATTAAAGGCCGACTCCCTCTCCCTTGACTGACGTGAATTGTCCCATGAAGAGCGGGACAATCACCCGAACGTGCCCGGGAGAAGTCGTGAGTGGCTCTCAGCTCAGGGCGAGTTGGCTCGTCAGAGATAACGACGCTCACGAAGTACAAAATGTACGCGCCTCCCGGCACAGAAATCGTCATCATCCGACCGAGAAAACGTCCGGTGTCGAGCCATATACATGATCCTGCCAAATACATGACTCCGACACTATTCAGGGGTTTCCACTAGTACTGGTATACCCAGACAGAGCTGCATGGAAAGAGAGGGTGGACTCGGTCCCGACCTGATGATGATGCATACCTGAGACAAGGGTTAAGTCGTGATGTGGGAGACTAAACCTAACCTAATTCCCAATCGTAAGTCTAACCCTAGCCCTCAACAATGATCCCAACCCTAACCCTAACCCTATCTCTAATACCAACCCTAACCCTAACCCTAACCCTAGCCCTGAACACCTGACCTCTCACGTATGTGGCAGCTCGAGGATCTGGCTCAACACCGGGCTGTCCACGGGCCGATTCGTTTGCAAATTGGGGCACGAGAGCGTCCCGAGTCCCGAGCGATACCGCTAAGGCCCCACCAATTTAATTTGTTGGTTCACGGATTCGCCGCTTCGTTTTTTCTGATTTAAAAAAAAAGAGAACATTTCAGACTCACAATCAACTCCAAAATGCTCATATTTTGGCTCCAACAGTTGAAAGAAGTCCACTTTCTTCAGAGTTACAGTTACAGTTTTTCTATCTATCAATGCAGTGGTTTAACTAAAAGTTTGAAATTCATTGTTTGAATTATAATGAGTTGACTTCATGGCTTCTATCATAGCATTTGGGGCTATCATATATAGTATGCCTAGGTCTGT